TACGACATCCATGTTTGTGACGTCATCAAGTATCCAGAAATGGTTATGGCCCGGTTTAGAGTAACGCAAAATTCGTAGGTGAAATAGAAATTTATTTTTTAACCGAAGTTGTCCACGGCGTCGCCGTCGTCGGTTGTTAAACTCCCTAATATGTCGGTCGAGGCTGTGTGGTAGTGCACCAAGAAATGCGCGCCAATTGCCAAGTTTTTCGATATTCGTGGGGAAGGGTAAGGTTGAGACCTATGCTCTGCGGGTTAGAGAGTGGCTCCTCATGTGGGAAGAGTAGAAACAATCTGTTCACCCTTTGACCCTTTAACGATGACTAGCATCGCACTTCATCTTACAATATCACCCTTGAATCGAACATTGAGGTCACGAAGAAGAGAGGAAATAATTACCATCTGAGGAAGTTCTGTCGTTAAACACATTGTCCTTGTCAGCACCTTAGGAAATGCATTATGAACAGTATGGAGAATATGTACACTGATGTTAGGGTGTAGAAGTTAAACATATTAGTCAGTATTGGTACAATGTAACACTTGAGAAATGCAAGACACCCTTACGCAAGGAAACTGTACTTTGGAGTTCCATTCCATTTGACAAATGACAAAAAAAATTTTTTTCACAGAGAAAATACCCTTTAATTTTAACAAGCCCCCTTAATTGATTGTATAACAGAAAGAAAACAGATCAATGACAGATGAAGGCAAAATATCTGTGATCATAACCCACCCATTAATTTTCGCGCGATTCTATTGGCTACTTTACATCACGTGATACAGAATCACCGGACAATTGCCATGCAGTAACCTTCGTTTGCGTCAATATTTGTCCTCGGATTATTCCGTCGAAAACGAGAAAAGTCAACAAGAAAAAGACAGGCCCAAGAGTTTCACTTTTTTATCTTTATTACTTAACATGGAAGACAAACAAACTCGTTTCTAAAAACCAGTGGCAGTGACATTAAAAAGGTAATCTCCAAAGCTACTTCGAAAAGTAATTTATAGATTTAGCCAAGCCTAAAAGCGGAGCTCGCATTTTTTTTTCCCGCACGTCTCAAGGGTACAACGCCTTGCCCCGGCCAGGACTAGAACCCGGGTCGTCCGACTTCGGGTCTGATTAGAGCTCCGCTATAATAAATTAAACAAAACTTACTGTCGACACGTGATAGGGAGTGGATGGATTATAAAATCAATAAACCCCTTCTGGGTTGTTGGTATGTCAGCTGATAATGTCCTTGGTTGAAAGATTGTCCTCAAAATTTCACGTTTGCTCTCGAAGCTTCGCTTCTCGTCCAAATATTCCTTTTTTTGGATAATATTTCAGCCGCGGACATTATTAACCGACATACAAAGCGCCTGAAGGGGTTATTTACTAAATACCTATAGATAAATAAAGCAGTAACACTTTCTGCAGACCCTTCTAAGGACTTCTACCAATACCAATCTCGATTCTCGAGCAATAAATAAAGAACTGACATGCAAATATACGATGTATCTAATCAAGTAATACAAAGGTGAACAAGATGCAAAAATTTGGATTAATTTGATGCCATTCTGAAGACATATTTCAGCATATTAAAGGAGTGACTGACTTCTTTGCTTAACCCTGTATTGTCTGAAACACGAAACAGGGCGGCTGAAGCTAAAACGAGAAGAATCACTCCTTAGTCCTGAAGCATTTTACTGCAACAGCTAGTGCTGATCCCCTTAAAAACTGAGCTCTTTCTTGAAACCTTTCCTCGCAAGTCAACAGAACTCAACAGTCAATGTGGTGCAGTGTAAATGGTGTATAACGCACCTGTTCATGAAGACTATTGCGATATGACAAAGGCTGTTCTTCACGAAACGAGGAGAAGACAGACTAAAAAGAAGTGCTTCACTCAAATTTTCACAATTCTTCTACTATTCCACTTTATATTAAGAAATTAAATATTTTACCACAATTGGAAGTAACATCGCAATCTGACTGACCAATTTGTGAATTCACAATAGTTTGACCTCTGTAATGACGAATATCGATGTCGATAATCGTACAGACCACTCCAAACAGACTCTCTAAAGGAAAGGCTATTTTTTGTCACTGTTTCTACTTGTAGTGTTTTCTAGTTGTTGTTCTTTTTATTTTTAGCGGTGATTAGCTTCTCTTGTCGTTTGTTCTGATGTTAATTTAATTCACGATCTGATATCTGCTTCATTTATGTATTCCGCACAGTTCCTTGTGGTTATTGCTATTATTAAAGTTGTTCTTTACGCGTTACTCCACTAATTTGCCTCTGTATTGTTGCTGTTTAAAATGTTGTCAGGATAACAGCTAGTTGTTGATGGCTTTTTTTTCTGCTGCTGCTCAATAATTGTCGCTCTTTATTTGCTAAAGATGTTGACAAGTATCCCACTGTTGTTAGTTTTTCTTGTTGTTGTTGTTGTTGTTGTTACTCTTCATCATCGTCATCATTTTCCGCTTCCTCTTCTACTTTTTATGATACTAGTAAAAATTTTATTTACACAGAACTCATATGCGTAGAGTTTTCTGTCCCACAGCGCGAAAAGCGATCTTCTTTGAAAAACATCCAAAACCTTCCACGAAAACAGAAAGAAAGTCGCTTCAACACAAGTCTCCTCAACTGTTTATCGACGCAGGTATAAACCACAGGATTTAAAACAGCGTTTAGATACGCCAGCCACTTTGTGACACTCGCTCCGGTAGGGTTCAACGTATAAAACGCAAAACAAACGCTCACAATGATGAATGGCGTCCAGCAGCACAGAAAACTTCCAATCACAAAGGCAACAGTCTTAGCAGCTTTGAGGTGTCTCTTTATCTCTTTATGCCAGTGGTGATGATTATTTACTTCTTCCTCTCTGCGGGTCAGGCCACGTGTGTGTCGCATAGCAACGCGAAACATACTTCCGTAAGCTGCAATGATTATTAGTAAGGGAAGGAGGAAACTTGCAAACATGACAAATATGGCGTAACCTGGATAGGAAAGATACGCATCATCGTTAACCAATTATCCTATCGTCTAGTCCTCCATTCATTTAGTCGTCTGGTAGTTTAGTCGCTCAGGCTTATGGGAGTCCAGCATATCTGCTAACTAATCGTCCAGTATTTAAATCGTCTAAAGGCTGGTTTTCGTACATCGGGAGAATCTTAGACGATCAGCTATTCACCGTTTACCGATCGTCTCAGATTTCGCCGAGGTTTTGGTAAATCGTCAGACGTTTCTCTCCTTGAATTGCAGACGACACTTTATTTGCGACTCGGGAATACTGGAGCCAAGCAATTAGGAGACAGTTCGCGAGCATAGCGAGTTAGTTATCACCGACATCCCCGAAGGTACTGAAAATTAGGTGTTTTCATATATCTGTAATGATGGCAGATCATCCGAGAAATCTGGGACGCTTTGGGAAATTAGAAACGCTCCTGACTTTCCCGATCTGTCGCCGACAATCCCAGACAATTGGGGATGTCTATAATTTGGAGTTTTAATTTATTGGAAAAATCTGAGAGGTTGGAGAACAGTGAAATCCCTGTCGACCATGCATGTGGGAATTTCCCGACATACGAAAAACAGCCTTAAACCTTTGTAAACCCGTGCACAGAGTTTAAGGCTCTTATTCTTTCAATCGGCATTTGTGTTCATTCGCGTCTTTGACCCTTTAACTCCCATGAGTGACCAAGAGAGAATTTCTCCTTACAATATCAATACAGTATCAACTAGATATCAACCAAATATCAATTTGGGGATAATTAGTTGATCCAATACTAAATTCTCTGAACTAACATTATGAGAATCACAGTGTGGTTGACAGTAAGGAGAATGACAGGTTTTAAAGGAGAAGAAGATGACGACGAAAAGAGAGAGAAAAAAACGAATAGAGCGCTTGCACTTACCACCTTTAAATTCTCTGAGTGGTTTTACCAACAAGGCAACAGTCATGGAGTAGACCCAAATTCCTCCAATAATGTGCATCGCCCTTCGTGTAGTTATCGTCTCTACGTACGAGTAGGGCCTGGAAACTGCTATATAACGGTCCACGCTGATTGACGTCAAACTCAGAATGGAGGCTGTTCCACACATGATGTCCACGTGTCTCCAAATCGTGACAAATGTCTCGCCGAGATAAAGAATCGCTGACTTGCTGCCGTACAGCAGAAAAATCAGCCAAATAGGCATACTTATAACTGTAATGAAGATATCTGCCAGGCACAGATTAATAATGAAATACCGCGTTATCCGCCTAGCAGAGCGCTGTTTATAAACAGCTAAACAGACAAAAGTATTTGCTATGAAGGCGCCTATAATCAGAAGGCAGATTAGTGAGGCGCTCACGAAAGATGCCACAGTCCTTAATAGAACAGGCTCCAGAGGCTCAGTTCCCAAGTCGGTCGTGACGTTGGAAGTGTTAGAGACAGAACGTTCCATGTCAAAGACTCTCTTGATTTCTTTGTGCAGTTTGTCTTCACTGGGGAGGCAATCCGGTAATTTCGCTCCTCGGCAAATACTGAAAGCATGAAAATGAATTGTAAATTGTTTGATTAGACAGCGACCGATCAAAAGTTACTCCTTGAAAAAGCTCATAAGACAATTGCGGGGGAAAAAAAATACCAATTTGGTATTATTTTCAGGAAAACGATATTTCCAATGCGAGGAAACTCTTCCAGCATCGACCCAGCGGCAGCAAATTCGCTACCGGACGAGGGGATCCTTGATACCACCTACATAGAAGTTTTCATGTTCATCAAACGAAACCTTAGTTGAATTTTTCTACTAAACTATGTTTGAGCTGATAGACGAATATATCACGTCGGCCAATCACAACATGAGATTTCCATTAGTTAAAACTATTACAACTCATGGCTTTATCTAAGAATTTGTAAAATGGATTTAATATGTATTTAATTTATCTGATGTTTCGTGAACGACTGTGACGAATTTAATTTCGGGAGGTAACTGCACTATATTACTCTGGGAGAGAGGTCATATCCTTATAAGTCTCCTAAACTGAACCATGGCTGGTTAAATCTGTTGCATTTAAGGTCGATGAAAATTCAACTTTTATGCCTGAAACCTTGGTCTCGTTGCTATAGAAGTCAACCTGTTTTCGACCAAGGTTAGAATAACTTTGATAAACAAAACTGATAAAAGAAGTCATCTCATTACGTAACTCCGAGAGCAGCTCGACTTTGTATAAGATTAACCGCACTGATAAAACCGAGCAAAGTCGTTCATTTTACTTCAAAGACCCGATTATTATTTTCAATGGTCTTTTCTTCCATAAATATGAAACGATAAGCGCCAAGACGAGGAAAATCAATTGGTAAGTTTAGGTTACATATTGCAACCAGATTAGAAATACAACTCCATGATAACCCGTGCATCAAATCAACTTATCATGAAAATCATTGTTGTAGAAACGGTTTCCGCTCCAAGGCTCTGCATTATTTCTCGCCATTGAATCATGAAATGACAGCTGTCTGTGATACACACTTATGAGGCCCCTACCGCACTACTGCGCTTTTTACCCGTGGGAGTCTCTCTTGTCTCGAACAAAGCAAACCAAAATATTCCAACGCACTCTCGCGTATCCCTTTTAAATATTCGCCTTCATTGTCCATATCGCTGTGCTATTATTTAAAAACACATATCTTTTGATACTTTCTCGTCTGTTGTCCATACAAGAACAACCCAAAACGTTAATGGAATCTGGCAGAAGCCTCCGTCTTGCTTGTTTACACCAGTAACGGCCCGAGTTCTTTGTAGAACCGCTTTCGAAAAACTTCTTTTCCATCAACGTTTTCGGGATGGATGATATGGAAAAATGCATCAAAAATGTGCTTTCGATACCGTACATGTGGATAGGGTTCGAAACCGAATGATAAACAGACACAGTCAGTTTGTAACAACTTATATGTAATCAGTTGATGATAAGAAATCGCTTAATTCAAAATAATTGAGACATCTAAATGAAGTAAGTGCACAGAATTAGTCTCCACACATTAATTAAGCACTTGAAATCATACTAGCAGTCTACAATTAGCAGCTTTCTGTGAAATTACTTTTCTTCTGACAGCGTCGTTTCAGTACACTCGCTTCGTGATCATCAAAACAATAGTGTGACAGTGTAGGTGAAAAATTTTTTTAGAGCATTGGTATAGATTACAGCCAGAATTAGGGCTCAAGTAATTAAGATCATGCCCTCAAGGCTGTAATTTACTTTCAATTAGAGCAAACATTAAAGCCGCAAAGAGTCTAGAAAACCTGACTAATTTGCAAGCCATGCCTGGTTTACCTCAAAATCTCGAGCATTAACGCTATTAGCCTTTTGTTGATACTTGTAAAGTATATGTTTGCTATAGAAACATCATCATTGAGAAAACGGCACGCGATCACGGAACAGACTTCTGAGCCAGTTTGCAGAACAAGTGATTATGTTATCTCTTTAACAAAGCTATTAATCAGGCGTAAGACTGAGATAAAGAAGGAATTCAAGTTATCAAGAATTTATTCAAGTTACGAAAGAAGATGGCCTTAAATTCCTGTTATTTTTGTTTAGTGAGTCAGTGCTGGGAATAAATTTCCACCTTGAAATCGTTGTGTTACTATTCATAAAATACATGAGCTGGTTTAGAATTCTTTCAATACTGAGTAGAAGACGTGGCTGGATAGCAACTAATAAGCCTCTGCCTGTAAAAAATGCTTTTTAGGCTCTTCAAAATGCCAAAGATTACTCTTCCTTATTACACTGGATACTTTAACACTCCGTTAAGTAAAACATTCTACTAATTTCGCTACAGCGGCACAGATGTGTACATGTTTCATAAACAATTTGAGTTGATACGCTCACTTACCTTTCGATGCACGTTTCTCCTATCGAAAGCGCAAAACCTAATGTTAGTCTACGGACGGATTTTCTCGTCAGCTGCTTCGGTTAATGGGCTTCGTGCAGTCACTAATTTTATCTGTAACACGAAAGATAGGCTGACTTGTTAGATATCCCGCTGAGCGTGATATCCGTAGGTAAATAATCTGTTTTTGAAGGTCTGACCTCAAGGAGAGATTTTGAAACTGAAAGGTTGAAATGATGCGGAAACTAGCCTTTTCATCCCCAGAGGCTTGTTTTGCAGACTATTTAAACTATTTATAGAGGTAAAAGACAATCGACTAATGGAGATAATGGTAAGCTGAACTTGTGAATTATAGGGTCGTTTGATTTGTCGTTTTTTTGTCTGTCATAACTTGAAAATTCTGTTGAAAAATAAATCTCTACTGGATACGGTCTGAAACAACAGGAATTGCGAGAGAAGTTGTGGTGACTGGCCCAAATTAGTTTCGTCGCGTTTACGTCAAAGTATGTATGTATCTAAATGCATACCCTGAAAAAATATCTGGGAGAACTTGCCCCTTGGTACGAGTTAGAAAAAGCTTCTTCTTTGCTTCCTGCAGCCGGCATAAAAAAAACTGTTGCGAATATTGAATATTCAGAAGGGTGGAAACATTGACCTGTTTTAGGTAATGGAAATATCATGACAAGTGTCATCCCTACTGTTACTTGTTTCATAATAAAGTGTGAGCCACGAATCAAAGAGGAACTAGTGCACCCTATGTCGCTGTTGTGTCAAAGTCTTACAATACTGAAGATGAAATTTTAATTATCGTACAGACTTTGGAAAAATGAAAGAAAAAAAAAAAAAAACAAAGAAACACAAACAGATGCCAGATTTCAGAAAATCGCCTCCAATACTTATTTGCATCTCATAAATAACAACTTATTTTGATACACGCATTTCGATGTTATAATTCAGAATGCCTTGTCCTTTAAGAGCTAGAAAAGCATTCATATTTTCAAGGCTGTCATTAGGCCAGACTTCTTAAGAGAGCAAGAGATCTGTAGCAGAGTCAGACTGGGATAAATAATATCCAGCTGAAAAAAAGTGGTCTCAACAAAGCAGCATACGAAATTAGCGAGACTTGAACGCCCCGCTATGTTCCAAAAACATTTTTTGACATTATTGAGGTTAAAAGTGCACCAGGCTTCACAGACGTAAACATTTCAGTTTCAAATCAAAATATCTTGAGTTGCCTCAACGTTAATTCATAGGTAGTCTTCTTCCTTAATTTTAAGTCACTTTTTTTCCATCTTTCTACCCTCTCTTTTTTGCAGCTCTCCCCCCAATGACCTCATTGAAATTTTAAATAATTTGACTTGTCGTAAAGTTCAACCTGCTACTCGAGGCACCGAGATCTTGAAGGTATTCGCCGCGTCTTGCAGCAAGACGTACCCATGTTGCAAATTATTCATAGCGGATGATCTCATTGTAAGTTGACAGATTTATCTTTCCTTACACAATTAATACGCTTTCCGCCTTGTTCCAAATCTGACATTTGGGCCACAGACAATCAACGAAAAACGATCTCTAACTTCGCATCCTGCTTTAGTATTCCTATACAAAGATCTAATACTAGATTTAGGATTATATTTTTCTTCGCTATTAATCTTGTTTTCCGCCTTTTGATTGGGATGAAGAAGGGTGTGAAAAGGCCCAACCTCTGGCTCAACCCAAATTAGCTTACGTGGGAGGCGAAGATTTAAAATGAAGCGATCGAGCACATTATTTAGGCTTAGCTCTAATGCTGTTATTTCGCAGAATTTCCTAGGTTACCCTTCACTCTGTTTATTTTGTGGTTTCGATGTCACTTTTTGGCAAATGAGAAGGGTGATAGGTCCTCGAGCCATGTCAGATTTTTAAGGAAAACATCGAAAATAAAAACAGATCCTCAAAGCTGAAACTGGCCAACCTCGGCGGAACATCAAATATACTGAGAAATTCAAAATAACGCATAACGTAACTTACCGGAAAAGACAGAAAAAAAAAAAACAAAAAAACAAAACAAGTTCTTCATTCACGAAGGAAAACTGGGCGAATATGAATTTCCTTTTTTTTCTTGTAACACTGTGAGCTGCACTGAAATTCCTGTTATTATGTAACGTTCTTTGGTCGCCATTTCGAGCAATTCTACTTTTTTTGTTTTGCAGTTTCCAGGTCCTTTGTAACGATGTATTATAGATGGAAAGCTTTTATTCAATATCTCACGCGGGCCATTTCCTGATTTTTAAGAAAAACACGGACAATGGAAACAGCTCTTCAAAGCTTTAAAGAACATTCAGATCAAAGATGTTTTCACTCTCGTGCTGATTCTTACTGAGCCAATAGCAATGAGTTTTCCTTCTTTTGCCGGCGACTATTCAATATAGCATTCTGATATGTTCATGTACTTTAAACCAGTTCTAGCAATTCATCTATTATTTAAAAATCTTAATTTATTTTCGTTTTCCATAAGATATTAAGACATTATCCCATTTAATACATTAGATGTGTACCTTTGCAGTAAACAACTATCTTTGCCATCCATCTAGGGAGCTAGATTTGTTATGAGTCAGTAAAGGATGTGGCTTATTTCAGTCTTTCCTTGCTTACAGATTTCTCAGATGGCATCAGCGGTAAATACTAGATCACGGAATTATTGATCTCCATGCATTAAGCCGAAGAAACACAATACCACTTAGAAATTGCTGGTGAAAGACTAATCACTCGCAGTTCGGCGCGCATCAAAGTCGCATTATTTCAATTATATCTTTGAGTTTTCGACCCCCTCTCTGATTTGCGTGGCTTTTGATCAATTATTTTCGTATACTTCGCGGATCATTTCCCTTGATTCAAAATTTGATGAGCTTTGTGTTGAAGTACAGAATCTCCGTTACTGCGTAGAAAAACATAACACGCCATCGTAACGACACGGTAAACTTCCAAACTGAAATCGAAGTTCCAATCGATGGAACCCAATCCGCACGGGCAGCTGTTTTGACGTGGCTGGGTCTCAGGATCACGGTGCGACAGCAAGAAATAGAGAAGCGAGCGGCGAGAGAGCACAAGAATTTTCCTTAAAAATTAAAAAAACTTCATTTTCGAGCAGCGTAAATTATAGAATTTTTAGCTTTCTGCTTCAAATTGAACGAGTTGGGGAAAATTAGGAGCTGTATTAGTTGCGATAATTGCCTCCAGAGGTCAGCTAATCAAAATTACGGCAAGCCAATATTGAACTACCCTCCCGTATCAGGCCTCCATTTCAAAAATTTAATCCAGACTGAGTTTATCGACGTGTAGCTACAAAGAATATTGTTTGAGAGCACTCAATGAGTTATACGGTGATACGGTCCATTAAGGCTGTATAAACTCTTTGGAAGAAAGAAAGACTTTCTCTTTGCGCAGTTGAAGTCAATGCACATGCAATTTAGGAGAAAGATAAACCCGTTTAAATGACTACGTAGTGAAAAAGGAAGAGGTTTTTCTTTTTTTTTCGTGCCTCATAAAACGATCTCTTACCCGCACTGGTGTCGATGTTTTAGCTTCTATTGAAGCTGACTGCACGTGAACCAGAATAAATATCCACTGTTTTTTGCCGGCTGCTTGAAGTCCCCTTAATTTGTTGTGGGCTCAAAAGTATTGAAAAATATATGTTTTCCTTTTAATTTCCTTCTGACAAATTTCCTATGACGAATTTTAAATCATTCTAAGAATATTGCTTTTTCTATACCACAAATGAAGCAAGAAATCAATTCCCCCAAGGCGTTCAAACTTTATTTGAATTACAAAAGTTTCGATAATTTTTTTGCAGCACTGTGGGCGCTCGGAAGTTTTTCTTTCGATTTATAAATACAATTTATGTCGCTGTGAATTAGGGACCTTAATTTTTTATCGTTACTGTGCTAAAGCGCTTTCTTTGTAGACTATAAGTTTGCTATTTCTTTGGTTTTTCCGCTTTTATGTAAAATAATATCAATTCCTCTTTTCCACTTTTGACAACAGACTGTTAGTTCGCTACGACAATCGTTAAAAGTAAATAAGACTATAAATTTTACCGGAGGCGTTCAAATGAGCCGTAACTTCAGAAAGTATCGTAGGTCAGTACTCTTCAACTTGAAAGTATCAGTTTTGAAAAAATTCACTGTCTGTGTCATGCTGATAAGGACCATTGTACGCTATTGTTTTGAAGAGGAAGGCTACAAACTTTAAAATGTGCCCTAAGCTTCGACATGCCCCCCTATTTCCCGGATCCAAACAAATTCCCCACCAAAAGGAAACCGCGAGTTCAGAGAACAAGTCTCAAATTAGGAAAAGACCTTCAGGTTATCCATAATCTTTTGCAAGCTGCAGTACTACCATAGCAACCTCGACCTTGTTAGATTTTCTCACTGTAAAATATGAAATTTCAGTCCGCGATAGTCGCGGCCTTTGCTGTGTGAATTAAAATCTCCTGACAGTATCTCGCAATCTCGTGTCATGCAGTCAAAGCATTAATTGATTCATAAATTTAAATAACTGAATATAGATAAATAAGCGATTTGAGGTGGTTCTTTAAAAATTCCTGAGTTTTAAGATCTTAAAATGTCGTTTGAAGAAAAGGCGCCACTTAATAAATCTCATTTAAAACTTTAAAATCTTCAAAATTCTTCGATAATGACTGCGAATTCAGTTTGAAATATATGGATGGTAGTTTTACCAACAAATTTTTATCGATGTGTTCCATAGGCCAATAGTCGGCTTCCCAATACTATTTCCCTTGACAAGGATAAGTTTTTATATGGCTTCTTAATAGACTACATAATATGTCACTTCACAACAAGATTTAAACGTTAAGGCATGAGTGAGTCCTCTCTCAGTCAAGTTATGAGCCGACGTCACCCTAGTGAATCGAATGAAAATCTCGCCCGCGTATATTTCCCGAAACTAACATCACCTTTGGCGGGCCAAGATAAAGCTGCCTAATTTTTTTTTCAAAATATCATAACTGAATTTTGAATTTTAACATGACTTACATGAGAAGAAACAGGAGTGCTTGACATCCAGCTCTCGTGCATAATACAGGTTCATTAGATTAAAATGTCGCTTACTGTCGACTCTCATCCGCTCTTGATCTCGCCGCTCACGGAAATGTGCCAACAGACTCCTATCTCACAGGAGGTTGGCTACAAATGCTTTGTGGCTGTAGAATTCACCGGAGTAGTGATTAATTTTAAAAGGAAAAATGATGAGAGA